ACAGGACAACGAACGACCTAAACCCCGGAACGACAGCCACATCTGGTATACTGACTGCTCAAAGACTGGCCACGGCCTCGGAGCAGGAGTCTACGGCGTACAACCCAGACAGCTCCTTTTCACAAGCGTGGAGCAAGGTAACTATGGCCCTTATTATGAGCTGTATTCGATTTTCGATCTTCGCTGGCTATCGAAGATCGAAGATCGAAAGTGGAATTCGTATTATGAGCTATGCAAGCGTGTCGAAATTTTCGTTGAGTATCGAATTTTCTGTCGAACAGAATTTTGCTTTCGATGGTGTAGCGAAGTGTTAGAAAATTGTGAAAAATGTATGATTTTGTATATGTTTTCTTACATTTTGGCGGCTAGACACTAATTTTAAACAATTTTTATGAATTTCATGCAGTTCTAACATCGTGAATACTAGACACAAGCTCCAAAGGCTGGTTTTACTTGTGAAAGAAAGTCCCAATACTCTGTTGGCACGATCTCTGAGAACAAAATCGTAGCGCTGTTGATAGTTTTAAAATATTTTAAATAGATTTGGCTCACAAACGCCTCTTTAGATGGTCGGAACTTTTTAATGAATCTGTAGACAAATTTCTTAAATATATTTTATATCAAAATATATTCAAAAGGCTAATAAACTTAAACTCTCTTAAACATTTGCTACTCCTGGCCAGTTTACTAAGCTCTCATCCTCTGACGAATCGTTGAACCAGAACTCGTTGTACTCATTTTACCACGTTTTTATAAGCTTGCTTTCTTTTTTACTTCATTTTAATTAGAACAAATTTACATAAATATGTATAAGCACACTATTTGTTTGCTCGATTTGTAAACAAAGCTTCTCAGCGGTGAAAAATATACTATTGTGAACAACCTAAACGAGCGAAATTCACAATAGCGCTATTCTTCATCGAATGAACGCCATAATACCAAATGAAAATTCGTTCGCTCAGCACTTTCGACCACAGTCGAAAATCGAATGCAACTCATAATAGGGGCCTATATCTTTCATGCCGAGATTCACGCCATTGAACTTTGTCTGAGGCAGTATGTGGAAAGTGGGGCAACCAAAAAACACATCTACATACTCTCGGACAGCAGATCTTAAAGCGCACGAGGTCACCTAAAAGCTGGTGTGGGACTGTCTTCACATTTTAATACTGATCGCTTCCAGGAACCGTGTATACCACATATGGGTACTGGGACACAGTGGAAGTCATGGGCAAGAACGTAGCAGATATTCTCGCCAGAAAAGAGGCTGCACAAGGATTCATAGGCCCAGGACCCTTTACCGATCTGCCATGGAGTTCCGTTAGGCGAAACTACTAAGTTTGGATGGTACGAAGCACGACATTACTGGATAGATAGGGAAGGTAATAGACAGGCCAAGTCCTTCATTCCGGATATATCAGCAAGGAGAAGGCATGAATGCTGGTAGACAGGAAAAACACCAGAAAATTTTACCAGAGAGTTAGGTGACTTACGGAATGTTTCAAAAGCAGAGCCCTATTCCACAAAAAGACTTATCAACTTTGCACTTTGCAATTATCATTTTTGCATTTATTGCATATTTCTTTCTCGCAAAGTGAGAGAGAAATGCGTTTCACAGCAGCTTCCAACTTGCCAATAACTTATCACAATGAGCCGGACGCAAAATCAAGCCAATCCACTTGCGGTGCTATCTGTGATAAAAGATAGAAAAGAAATTTAATTACAGGTTCATTCCAGGCAAACTAGCGTTCACATTATAAAATTGATGGTCTGGCCCGCATATCATCATAACATTCTATGAATGTTTGCCATGCCGATTTACGAATACAGTATATTTTGCTTTGCTGCCTTTATACTTGAATGTGAACTTACATTTAAGATACCTACCCAAAAATGAGCATCAGCGGCATTATTTTTAACATTTATAAGGAAACTGCTCCGATAGATGAATTCAACATACCTACACTTCAGCGATACTTGCCTTAAAAATTTGCAACTATTATTAATTATCAGAGAAAGTATTACGATTACCTACACTGGCTCTACATTTACCCTAATTTTACAAGCTTTAATTAACTTTGCTCATCTCGCAGAGCAACGAAAACGGCTATCATTTAATGTAGTTATATAGATACCATTCGGAAAAAATTTCGCTTGCAGTAATTTCTACGTGGTAAGTGCTCCTCCATTATTTAGTTTCATAGGGATTCGGATACCTTCCTCATTGAAGTAGTAAAGTAAATTCGTTTAAGTTCTTTTTTCAGTTAAGCGCACAAGTTTTTCGTGCAAAGAAGGATGGGCAGCTAAGAAAAATACTGTACCTCCTCATGTGTAGGATACTGCGATACTGCGATTTTTCGATATCTGTGATTTCAGTGATTGCTATATTGCAATCGTTCTGATTTTTTACTGCTATTGCGATCGCAATCAAAAATAACTCGATGAACAAATTTTATGGTTCATACATATATATTTTTGAATTACACTGGCAATCAAAAATTAGTGCATGGTGTTTGTTGTTTAATACTTGCAACGTTTTTAGGTTAAAATATTTTTTTTTTTTTTTTTTTATAAAAATATGGTTCATGCTTTTAACCAAACTTCCAAACTTTATACAGAACGTAGAAAAATTCAACAATTCTTCTTCTAAATTTTTAACTTTTTAATTTGAATTTGTAGAAAAATGTTGGGTACGCAGATAGATCGGTTATGTAATTCTAGTGAAACAAGTGAAAGTTTTAAGGCGTATAACAAGTGCAATTAGTAAAATTCAGCGTTAATTTTTGTTTATTTGTTTGCAAACGGTCTTGCGCATTTTATTCTACACAAAATTTCTTTTTACATTGTAAAAAGTGCAAAAAGCCGTCAGCAATTAAAATTCATTTAGAATCAACGCAATTTTTTAGCCGCATTAAACTTGCACTTGCAGATTAAAAAGTTCAAAGCTTAGACGAAAATTTGTTGAATTTTTCTAAGTTATGCATAAAGTTTGAAAGTTTGACTGGTGTGATTTTGATTAAAGCATTAACCATATTTTTATAAAAAAATACCAAAAAATTTTAACTTGAAAAGCATTGCAAATATTAAACAACAAATACTACACACTCACTTTTGATTGCCAGTATACATTAAATTCCACAAGCATACAGGAAGAGCAGTTGTCAATTGCTGTTAGGTGGATATTAAATCATGACTTATAACTAACACATGTTTTTTTACATTCGAATGTAAAAATTTCTACATTTTGGCCTTCTCATCGTCCAAACGCATTAGCCGTTCGCTTAATATTATTCTACTGATGTTGCCAAGCATCCTAACTTTTCACGCGCAATTGGCGAAGGTACGGATACTTATACCTATTTATTTTCCACCACCACAATGAATCTTCTGATCGGACAATTACGTCATCTTCCAAATATCTTTGTTGCAGTAATCATCAGTCATCTTATCTTGTCACTTAGCAAGTTGAGAAGGCGAAAAAAAAGTTCGCCAAATATTTTCAGCAGATCTTAAATAACGCTACTCGATTTATAACATTTCTATTAAACACAACTGAATTTAATTTATTAGTTTTATGTTACATAGATATGCAACAAGGCACTTACTTTGCCAAACTCCATCTTGCTTATAGGCATAATTTTCCAAATGTGCCTGAGATGCTACTTCATACTAATAACTTCATTTTCCAACTGCGCCTTCTTTGTTGCCTCAACATATCCTAAAAAGACATAAAATTTACATTAAACAATAGAAATCGCAAAAATTTGAAAATAAAATACTCCCTTCATTTTGTTTTGTTGTAAAATTTCTGAGAAATGTGAATTCACCATGATGCAATACAGAAAGAACAAGGACCAGGGATGTAATTTTAAGTATTCAGTGGCAATGCGCAGAGCGTTCCAAGTAGCAAAATAAATTTGTATCAAATATAACATTAAACCGTGGTTCTAATACATTTTTTAATATTATTTATCAGAGTACATACATTATATGGTATTTCTTGCAAAAATTAATGCATATATGCATTTTTTTTAATATTTCTTAAGTTTCTTTCATTACTGCTGAAAAGCAACCCTGCGTGTAAGAAATTATGTGGCACTTAAAATTTCACCTCTGGAAACTTTATCCCCATAAAGGACTTCACAACATTTTTTTTTTACTGGATATACTGAGGCTCGCACACATATCGTTCGCGTTTCTGAGCTTGTATTTGATCGGCACTGATGTGCAGAGTTTTCGCATGGCTACGCGCTATATTTGACGACCAAATAGTCTAATGCTTGCACGTCTTTGTGTTTTTATGACTTTACTCCAAAAAAACAGCCCTATCATGAGTTTAATTTTCCCCGAACCGGTTCACTTTTCACTTTTGGTTTCCCCATGGTTTTACTATGGGCGGATGATAAATTTTCGGGTGAATTTTTTTTAGGCGAAACTCAGGATAAGGTGTTTTTCTTTCAAGAATAAAAAAGAATGACACTCCTTTTTTTAACAAGTGCTTCGTTAAAAAAAAAGAATTATTAAAATCGGTTCAGTGCTTTGAGAACCAACCATGGACAAATAATAATAAATGGAAATGGATATTGTAGTAGGTTAAACTCCAGCTTGTCCAGACTAGACCCCGACGTACCCTATATATGGCCGACATGTGAACGTGCCCCACATGACAACAACCCCCTCTTCACATGACCACTAAACTCACTCAACTCAACTAACATTCCGCTCCCTTTGGTTTGGCCCCGTCGAAATAACTAGTTTCCAGGCCTACAGTTAGTTGAGCCTGGCGACAACGATTGTGCGACTAACCGATTCTATACGAGCATAGGTAGCCGCTGCTACTAAAACAGCAAAAACATGGACAGACGCCGTACCCGTTTCGCCCTCTAAACTTTAACTCGCTCCCAAACGGATCTTTGGTTTTTACCCAGACGATATTTGACAGTTTCGCGCGCATCTATACTCAGAAGCAACTAAGAGTGATTTAAGCAAAATATCCGCTATTCGTTTTAAGTAAATGAAAACTATTTTAGAGATTTATTTTTAGGTATTATTTAGGTTAATTGAAGGCCGTATCAGGTATCCGTTTTTTCTCACAAAAACTTAAAAAAAGCAGAAGTGATTTTTTGATGTCCCATTTTGCGTCATCTAAGAAACTAATAAAAGTTAATATTTAGTAAATTCATACGTTGCAATTGTTTGAATATTAGATTAAATCTCCCTTACCGCGTACACCATACCCATTTGAGGTTTGTTACTTCTTGAAACATTATAATGAGAGCTTCTTTATCGGCTACAGTTACTTCGTCGTCATTGTTCTGCCCCTCTGTTTTAAAATACTTGAATGCCTTTTTAGTTTGCTGGGCCGTTGGGTTGTATATACTAAGTTGTTCATTACAAATTTGGTACTTTATAGCTCTGCCGAGAATCCCCTGTTAAAAGAAAAAGATAATGATAATGATAAGAAACGTGCATCTTCAGATTATGTTGTGACCATTTTAACATACTTGGTGCTTTTCTACCGGTGTGAGTACAAAACTGCGCGTGAATGCCATTAATATGTCATTATCCATCATGCTTGGTGCTTGATCGTAAAAGACGCCGCTGATTGTTATCACTATAATTTTGTCCTATCAGTAGAATTGTGTTTAATGTTAAGATGTAATGATTATAAGAACAAGCAATACATACATTGTAAATCGTTGTATCTGTGCTAAAAGTCAACAAATCGTGTCGTATACTGGGCAGTTGCAAAAAGGTTTGCATAATTTGGTCAGAGCCCAGATGTATAGTTGTGTGGGCCCGAGAGAGATCTGACATTTTTAAAATATTTCTACTATTTTCACGATACTTGGATATGCGTCGAAAATTTTGCGACGTCATTTGGGCAATATGATAATTAAAGGAAACTGTAAGCATTGCATTGCGCTGATAAAGTTCTGAAAAAATTTGAGCAATAGTAATGAATGTATTTAAATTAGAATCATTTATGCTACCTTTCAAAGATTGACGCTCATTTGAATCGAATGCCTTGAAGTATAGTGGAACAAATTCGTCGACGAAATCGTATCCTCTTACATCGCACAGGAAATTTTTTTGGGAAGTTAAAGAGCCTTCTTTTTTTAAGTCAGTGTTATCCTGCAAAACAAAATGGGGATTTATCATTTATTATACGAGTATCAACGATTTTGTTACAAAAAAATTTTATAATAAACCCCATATGTATACATATAGATGGGACAATCCAAAATTAGAAGCAACCTAAAAAGGAACAGTCCAGCGCCTTCGTCTTGGTCTGCAGGCTGTATCGGAGATACACCCGCTAAATTTAAACGTAGAATACGTGGTATGGTTAAGAGCATATCCAAGTCAAAAACGAAAGCACAAACTAAGAAAAAAATATCGATAACAAAAGCGATAATAAAATCGATAACAAAATCGATAAAAATATCGATAACAAAATCGTTAACTAAATCGATTACAAAATCGATAAAAAATCGATTACAAAATCTATCGAAAAATCGATTACAAAATCGATAACAAAATCGATTCCAAAGTCAATAACAAAATTGATAACAAAATCTATCAAAAAATCCATTACATCGGTAATAAATTCGATAAAAAAATCGATAAAACTATCGATAACAAAAGCGATGGCAATATCGATAGCAAAATCGGTAAAAAAACCGATAAAAATACCGACAACAAAAGCGATAACAATATCTATAGAAAAATCGATAAAAATATTGATGACAAAAGCGACAAAAATATCGATAACAAAAGCGATAACAATATCGATAGCAAAATTGTTAAAACAATCAAGAAAAATATCGATAACAAAACCGATAAATAATCAATAATAAAATCAATAACAGAATCGATTACAAAATCGATAACAAAATCGATAAAAATATCGATCATTATATCGATAAGTTCCGAAAATATCGATAGCAAAATCAATAACAACATCGATACAAATTTCGATAACAAAATCGGTGAAAATATCGGTAACAAAACCGATCAAAATATCGATGGCAAAATCGATTAAAATATCGGCAACAAAATCGATAAAAATATCGATAACAAAACCAAACAGATCCACATTAACTGAAACTTTCATATGTACGTATATATGCATTTACATATGTACATACGCTTCGATCAAAAGCCGCATTACATACGCATACATACTTTTTGTCTCCTTCCCACACTTCCAACATATGCACGTGTTTGCAAAATGATGACGAGGTGATTTTGTATGGAAAATCATTTATGCCCATATATTTGAATAAAATAAACATATATAGAAGATATCAACCAATACTTCCCATATACCAAACGAAAGGAAAACTCTTGAATTTTTGATTAAAGAAAACAAAAACAAAATCATTCGAGCGGTTTTCGAGCATTTTGGTAATGAAAAAAATTTGCAAATTTTTTCAACAATTTTTTGCCTTAAAATGCTCAATATTTGTAAAATTTATATAAAATTTGTACCCGATAATATTTCTACTGCTCCAAAGAACCTATATCCCGAAAATGAAAGTTATATATGCCAACAATAAGTTGCTAGAGCACTTTAAAGGCTCAAAATTGACCCCAAAATAAGGCAATGTTTACCGTTGTTTTTACGACAGAAACCGAATTGGTTATTTACAAAAATGAATCTGTCGACAGGTTTGGAATTTTATCTTTGAAACGCCACACTTTTCTTTGAAATCGCTTTATTAGTTCTCGTGCAATAAGCGTTTTTGTGAAGCTCTAAAAATTACAACTACAACATTTGAACACAGCCCCCATACCTTAAGGTAAGACGTATTCTACGTCAAAAAATCGACCAAGGACTGTTTTTAAAGCTTAGAGTAGAGATGGGCAAACTCAGCACATTTGCACTGTGCTGGCAGCGTGCACTTCTGCGGGCTACAGGGGCTAGATGAAGTGCGGTTGCCAAGGACCGGGGGAAAGGGAGAAAATTTGAGCGAGCTGCATCTGTGTGTATAACCGGAATACCTGGGCAAGTATGAGTGAGTACTTACCAGGGATGTAAACTCTAACAAAGCCGATCCCCCCAACTTTTCTTTGAAAATTACTCAATTTTCAATTGTATTCTCAGGAACGAATAGGGGTGCCAGATTTTTTATGCGCGAAATCAGTACGTTACACTTTTTCATTCTAAAGAAATCAGTACTTTTCAGTACATTTTTATTCAAAGGAAAATTACAATTACATCCAATGTGAATTAAAAAACTCTTAACGCCAAGAAGGAAAATACAAATGCGGAGCTATTGGCCATCCACCTACAGTTAGCGGAGCATCTGCCAATCCAAACCTTGATGGAAATAATAGAGAAAACAAAAGCCGATAATAAAAAACTCATGAAGAAGAAGTATGAAAGGTTGAACAAACAACTCGATAACTTGAGGACGAGGCAAAGCAACAACAAAATCATGAAAAATGCAGAACAGAAATCCCATTCCCGATTTGTAAACTTGACGGAGGTTTACACCAATGAGCAAGCATAACTATTAAAAAAGGCCTCAAACACAACATTGAAAGTCACAACCGAAAGAGCGAACTTGAACAAACCATCGTGGATACTGTTGTTATTATATCACGCCTTCCAACTGAAGAACAGGAGCACGCCAGACACATATGTCGGCACATAATTGAAAAAGACATAAAGACCAAGAAAATTAGGAAGCAGAAGGACGAAAACCAAACCATAAAACGGCTCAAAGAAAAGTTAAGGGAAAACAATGTTCTAACCAAAAAGCGCACAAAGGCAATACCACCGTATTAATTGATAAAAAAGATTACATAGAGAAAACTAAAAAACTAATAACTGAAAAACTGGAAAACCTATTGACCAACCTAGGAGTAAAACTCTACGCGAGATATGTCGATGATGTAATATGTCTAATAGAGGGAAACAAAGAGAAACAGATACTAGACTATCTCAACAAACAACACCAGAATATAAAATTCACCATGGAAACGGAAGAAAGAAAGATTAACTATCTGGATTTAACAATTAAAATAAACAATACCACGAACAAGATAAAGTTCGAAATATACAGAAAACCAACAGCCACAGATACAATAATACACAATAGCTCAAACCACCCACAGCAACACAAATATGTAGCACTTAGACAACTAATAACGAGGCTTGAAAGGACCCCTCTAACAGAAAAAGACTACAAGAAGGAACTGGATACAATATATGCCATTGCGGAAAATAACGGATATAGGAGAGGCCTGGTTGAGAAGTTAAGAAAGGACACAAAATCGAAAAGACTAGCAAAGAGGAAAACAATAAAAAAAAAACTTGGGCAGTTCTAACTTACACAGGAAAAACATCTTATAAACTTGCCAAATTTTTTCATAAGTACGACATTCAGACATCATTTAAAACAAGGAACACTATGGGAAGTGTATTGATAGAGAAAATAAGCGAGGAAGACCCGCTAGATAAACAGGGTGTTTACAAGTTAAGTTTCGAGTGCCGACACAGCTACATAGGACAAACAGGGCGAAATATAAGAACAAGGTATCGAGAACACATAAGGTATTATAATAAGAAAAAACGAAAACCAGACGCTGCAATAGAATCGAACTTCGCGAATCACATGATCAAAAATAAATGCACACCAATGAAGATTGGACAAACAAAAGAACTTCTGCGTGTACAACATAAAAGACAAAGATTGAATATATTAGAAAATATGGAAATATATAAACAGAAGACCTTCAAAGGACAAATAATAAATGAGCAAATAAATACTCTATCGGACGTACTGTTTGAACCTCTAAAACTACTGTACGAGAAGAAAAATGACAACAACAAAATATTAAGGACAGACATGGAAGGGAATACACTAACTGCAAAAACAAAGAAGGTAAAAATCACGGACTTCTACCTGACGTCAAAAACGAGCCAAAACAATTCATCTACCTGTTGAGCACCGCAAACACTGCAAAACTAAGAAGACGTACCTAACAAAAGAAAGAGGTAGAGGAACAAGGAGTATAAATACGAGCAACCAACAAAAATTATGCAGAACGAAAAATGACACTGAAGATCGCACAACGCCGAAACCGGTTTGTCTCCAAATCAAATTTGACAAGGGATGACGGAAATTCGTTCCAAAATACATCAAAATTATGAATGTACATGAGTAACAGATAATACATTAAAACGCCAGAGTACTTGTTTTTAACAATATTTAGGTATATAAATAAAATATAGTTCATAAAAAAGTGTTATTCACTTTAACATGAGTGTACACTAGGGTGGTCCAAAAACAGTAAAGTCGGAATTGTAATGCTCTCACCCACTAGGATTGTTCTACATCGAAAAAAGTATACCGCAATTTTTTTATTTTGAGATCAAAAAATATTAAGAGAGCGCTCAAAGTTTTCCATGTATTTTTATATGGGAAAAATAAAATTCTTCGTAGAAATGGTATAGAATTTTTGAAAATCAATATTTTTCGATCGGAAAACTCTGGTTCCCTTCAGGCTACTTTCAATAATAGTACCCAGTTGTTTATTTAACCATTTTTTAATACTAACGATTTTTTATTGGTCGCCCCATTGCATTTTTCGGAGTTTTTGTGTGTTTTTGGTGGACCTATAAATTACAGTTGCGATGAAAGAATGGTTAAATAAACAATATTCGTATTATTATTGGGAGTCTCCTGCAGGGGGTGAGAGCATAAAAATTCCGACTTTACTTTTTCCCCCACATACATTTTTGGACCACCCTAGTGTACACATCATTGTACACAGAAGCCAATAAATTATTTTATATTTATAACATTTTTGAATAGCAATAATGAGATCATTTCCATCTTCAGTGTTTAAGTAGTCAAAGAATTTTATACATTTCATTTCAAAATTACTTATTTATTGCAGTTCACTTTAAAAAATCTTAATCAGAAGCCGGTTTCCCTATTTGCACCAGGGAGCAAACTTTATACTTCAGATCCTCTCAGTTGCTTCGTTTGAGTGTGGTATTGAAAAAAAAATTATAAAAATTACAATTTTTTTCAACCTGTGGCAAAATACCACAATTTAAAGACTTCATCTATATTTCCTCATGGCTTAAATTAATTTTTTCAACTACGTAAAAACTT